GACTAAGGAAGAGAGGGAAACATACAATGACATAAAGAAACATACGCCAATTAAGTTTTTAAAAGACAACATGTCCCATAAATGAAGTATAACAACTTAACCAGCTCTCTTTTTTTTCTTTATATATATATATTAGGGGCTGACTGGGAGATGTAGACTATGACAAACACCTTCCGGTTTTCTGGTGCCTTTGGGTCTATTGGGGCATATGTCTGATAGGCCTTCATGAGAAGCCCCAGAAAAGTGGTGGGAGATTTCTGTGGCCCTTGAGTGACTTCACTCATCTTAGATAAATTTGTGGGGTGCCTTGCAGCAGCCCAGAAACCCCCAACAGAGTCCGGCGATAAGTGGTGAGACACTCCCTACCGTGATTAGTGTTAGGGTCCCAGTTTGATCTGGGACACACTTCAATTCTGCATGTTCTGCTGGCCAGCTGCCAGGTCCCAGAATTAACTTCCTTGCTTCCTGGTGGATTCTCTCCTTCTCTCCTGCGGTGAAGAGAGCTTGGAGAGGCTGTTGGCAATTATCCCATGTGGGCATAAAGGCAGGGCTCCCATCCCACCCATGATATTAATTACAATAACAGACATGACAGTAACAAACACTGAACACACAAACAAGACAGCGAAAACTGAACAGAGAGATCTGGCTGCCTGAGGGCAAAACAGGAGATCCCAGTGATGTCTCACTAGGACCTCGGACCCCGGAATTAGCGCTGCATCCAGCTTTCCCGAGGGTCCCTACGGGAGTGCACTCAAAACAGAAATCAGGAGCCTGACTTACCTCTCTCAGGGCTTCCAGGGGCATTGTGAGTCTGCCAGAGATACAGGCCCAATCGAACCCACAGAGTTCGCAGGGACGCAGCCCCACAAGGCTCTTCAGTTAAAATTGGTGCAATTTAAGCACTCGGTTATCCCAGATGAGCCCCCGTTTGAAGTAGGGTCTGAGCGATTAAATAATAGCCCACTGACTTAATTTTAACAAAGGAGAAGTTTATTAGTCATGGCTCTGCCAGCTGGCGACTGCTTGCAGGAAGAGAATTCCAAGCAAGATGGCCCTGAGCCCCCACTCAGAGCTCCCTTAAGTAGTCCTAGCTTACATCTTGGTTAGCTAAAGTTAGAGTTGGACATTTTCCAGAGCTCTTATCGCAATATTCTGCTGACATCAGCAAGCTGGTGAGTTTACAGAAGCAGATGTGCTAATTAGACAGGTGTAGTGGGTAAAGATACAATTTATCTTGCAATGTTTACAGAGGAGAAACCTTCAAAGAAAAACCTCCAGGAAGGGAGTAACGCCTGTTTCAAGGCTGAAGCCATTTCTTTCATTTCCCCCCCTTACAATCCCAGGGGCAGAAGCTACTTCTTTTCCCTTTCACAGCATGTCACTATACTAAATACTGTAGGCAATTATGCCACAATGGTATTTGTGTATATAAACATATCTAAACATGGAAAAGTACAGTAAAATACAGTATTATAATCTTATGGGACCACCATAATATACATGGTCTATTGTTAACTGAAACATTATATGGCACATGACTGTAATGCTAAAAAATGGCTGCTGACTTCTCACTAGAAACATATAAGCCATAAGACAATAGAATGTTATGAAGTGGTTAAAAGGAAAAAAAAGCTGAAATTTTAGAGTTCTGTCATTCAGAAGTGAAGGAGGGAATAAGAAGGAGATAAGTATGGTTATAAAGAGAAAACAGAAGGGGTAAAATTTATAACTACAACTCAACATTTAGATAGGAGGTAAAAAGAAGTACACATTACAAAATTCTTACATTATACATGAAACAGTATATTAATTCAAGGAACACTATGATAGGTTAAGGACACATTTTAATTTCTAGAGCAACAAAAAAGTATAGTTAAAAGCCAATGGGAACGATAAAGTAGAACACTAAAAAATGCTTGATTAATCTGAAAGGAGGCAGAGAAAAGAATAAGGGGAACAAAAACAGAAGGGAAAAAAATTAACAAGATGATACATTTAAGATCATGTAACCGGGCTCGGTGGCTAAGTCTGTAATCCCATGCTTTGGGAGGCAGAGGTGAGTGGGTTGCCTGAGCCCATGGGTTTGAGATCCGCCTGGGCAACTTGGCGAGATCTCATCTCTACAATAAGTCAAAAAATTAGCCAGGAATGGTAGCGTGCACCTGTAGTTCTGGCTACTTGGAAGGCTGAGGAGGAAGGATTGCCAGAACCCAGCAGATCGAGCCTGCCATGGCCAGGAGCACCCACTGCACTCCAGTCTGGGTGACAGAGTGAGACTCCAAGTCAAAAAAAAAAAAAAAAAGACCTTGTAAAGACAAATAGACTAAAAACCTCTATAAAAAGACAGATTGATAAACTAGATAATTTTTAACAAAGCCCATTGTCTCGGCCTCTTTAAATGTTTGAAGTTGACAATCAGTAAATGTATTTTTAATTGTTTTGTCTTAACACTATGTGCAGAGTAAATGGTAATATCTGCATTCAAAATGTTAAATAATGAATTAACAAATGATCTAACATCTTTCTTCAGGGGTAGATATAAATAAACAATATCACACAGTTCACTTCTAAATTTTCAATTGAAAAAAAATAGTTTGGACAAACATAGGGATAGAAGTCTCTTATTCCAGAACCTGGAAAAACTAGCTTTCCTTGACTTGAGAAGACAGTTTCTAAGAAGACAGATTTCCAGTTTACAGCCACTCAATCTCCAATCCTAGTACTGATTTGAGTCATGTGTCTTTTGGTAATGTGCTTCTGTACCACCAATTTACTTCCCCTGTGATATCCAGTGCTACTCTTTACAGAGATCCAAAGTCACTAAATCTTGCCAGCCCTGACATATGACTTGGGAGGGGAAAGGTATTTTTAAAGACATGCTAGACCATGTTCTTTGCACAGTCCCTTTCAAGTCACAACACACACAAGCTGAGGGTGAACCCTTGACTTTGCCTTCTAATCCAACAAATCCAATAATCAGGGAGCTTTCTTCTGGTGTGAGCAGTTGCAAAAGTTCCATTTCACTGTCTGACTCAGGAATTCCCACATCTGCTAAAATTTCCCTCATCCATAGTATGCACAGACTTGTCATTCTATAATAATGGTGGTAAAAATGGAACGATATCAATGATATACATTCTGTCACTTCATGAAATACGTTCAGAACAGGCACTCAGAACTCAAGTTCAGAAGACATTTTGCAATATATGATCATTAGAATGAGAATTGGAAAGTCCTGTAAAAGACAGGATGGCAGAAGGACAACAACTTTTATTGTAGATACAAAGGTTAGCACCCCGGAATCTTTGCTGGAAAACGGTGGCTATCTCTGATGCTGAGAACCTATCCTCTGGAGTTGGAAGCAAAGAGTTTTCAATTCCAGATGACTTTCTGCTTCTGCTCTGACTTTTTGCCAACCATGATGATACAGACAACCCTATATACAGTTTTTCAGTTACCTCTATAGTAAACAGAACATGGGGTTACTTTGAGGACTTAAGATTACTTTGTTCCTATAAATCACAAGATCACTGAAGGAAAAAATCAGAGAGATTTCCAGAAGTGACTTCAATAGTCCTCCATGGATAGAATCACAGAACTAATCCACTCATTGGATACTTTACATTTCTCCAGACTTGATCCAGACTAGCCTCGCCTTTGGAAAGTCATAGTTTGCCTGATACTCAGAAGCTGTCCCTGCCCAAAGCTACAGAAGCAAATGTTTACCTCAGGTGCTTATTGTGCATCTGCTTATGTTCTCAAAACAGAGAATGTGGGACGTTTCCTAAGAGGACATATTCTACAGTCTCTCACAAAAAGGATAATTATATTCTCTAGGATGTAGTTGACCAATGAGTGATCATCTATGAGTCAGAAGGAGCTAAGAGTGATAGGCAATCATTATGTTGCTTTAAAAAACAGAGGCAGAGTAGCCTAGAAAGTTGTACAGGATGAATCTCAGGGTCTGGCTTGGACAAATTCAATGTATGCTAGTGCCTTTCACTGAGGTACAGGAACAAGAGGGAAAAACAAGTTTGGAGCAAGTTTTGGGAAGAGAAATCCGAGTTTAGTTTTAGATATTTGGGGTTCAAAGTACCTATGATATATCTGGATGAATATATTTGGAAGGCAGATGGATATATAGAACTGGAATTCTGGAGACAGATACTAATAACAGGTGTGTCTAAACTCCAACAGCAGCCCAATTAAGGCTCAGGCTGTTTGCAGGAAAAAAAAGGGGCAACCCCTTCAGGTCCCCTCCCACTGTGGGAGCTTTTCTGTCCTCTCAATAAATCCTGCTTTCTCAAAAAAAAAAAAAAAAAAAAAAAGACTCAGACTGGAAACATCACTACTTGTGCTTAATATTTTCTACTTTTATTTTAATACTTATTTTATGTTTCTATAGTCCATTTTATTAGAATTAATTACTTTAAATTTCTTTGTTTTCTATCCCCTACACTTCAATCTGTATCTCCAGATTAAAAAAAAAAAATCTCAAGGAAGGAGTCTGATTAACTAAAGTGATTTCTATTTCTATCTATTCCATTGGGCCAATCACTGTGTTCAAGAACCTGAGGTACGATGATGACTCCAACTCAGATCCCATCCCTGTCTCTCAGACAGTGGAGAGGTGCAGGGCAGATGGGGCCAGTGCTATAACTGGCAGATTCTCATTAGAACCTTATGGTGCAATGGGAAAAGATCAATTCCCCAAGTCAATTGCTCCCATCAGAAGATAATGGTACCGAACAGACAAAACAAGAGAAACACACTGCATCACCTACCCTAAACTATTATATGCTCTGGAAACGTTTTTGCTGATATTATATTGTGTACTATTTGAAGTATGGCTCCTAAGCTGAAATTCCAATGAACTTAATTGTGTAACATGTCCAGAGTGACATTTGGGAGGACTAGAATCTGGAGAAGGTAAAGGAAACTATATACACTCTGCGCTGTTTATTTGCTCACTGTGTAACTCTAATGTTCTCTGTCAGATCCTGGCAAAGCTCTGTGACATTTTACATACTGATTCTCTGGCAGAGGTTCTACAATGGCTGCTTCATGCAAGTTCAAAAGGTGAGATTAAGATATGCATATTTAAACACAGAGCTCAGTTTATTGTCAGAAACTGAGAATATGCCAGTATCTGAAGCTTTCCACCTTGGATTTGCAAAAATAATACTACACACTTGTTTCCCCAGTGTTTCAGTATCAGAATCATTGCTGTCTTGTATATACCATTGCATACATGTTGGTCATTCAATGAGCTCCAACAGTGTGCCTCACATTGAACTCATTGAGTGATATGAAATGCTTGTGTCCAGGGGAGGTCTTATTCTCAGCAGGAGCTGGTTTGTGCTCCTAGAGTCCACACATGCAGCGGGGCACATCCTCTGGCCTGCTCTGAACCCTGAACACAGAGCCTATATCTCTCCTTTGATATGAATGGCACAGCCACCCAGATTCCAGATTCCAGACTCTAACAACTCAGCCAGTTCCCCATCAAAACTGTTAACTCAGTTATCTCCCAGTTTTTGGGACCTTTCTGGCCTGTCCCAAGAAAACACATGTCATTCCCAAGAAGGACAACCAGAAGTGGCATAGAGCAGCTATCCTCAAATCTAGCTGATCATCACACTGACTGGGTCGAAACCTCTGAGGTGGGACCTGGGTATTTGCATTTCTAACAAGTACTCAGGAAGTGTTGCTAATGCTGGTCTGGGGACCACTCTTTGAGAATCGCTGCACTAATCACTGTTAGGAAGTATCCATGTGTGAGGCACAGACTAGTATTTTAAAACAGGGAGCATTTTGAAAATAGTACCTTACTTACCCTAGGAATTCAATACCACTTTGCAGACAACTGAGAAAAACTTGGGGACAATGGATCTTTAGTTAGTCTCTATTGTATTTTTTTCCCTTTTTAAGGATGTAACATTTAATAAACTATACAAGTAATAAATGTTTATTGTTGGGAGAAAGAACAGATGAACTAGAAAGAAAAAAAAAGATAAGACAGAACAGGAATAATCAAACAATTACCACAGACATCATTTCAGTGAATACTTTGGTGTATATCTTCCTAGATATGTTTGTAAATATTATTTAACCACTAGTCTGTATTTTAAAGGAATCGTACTATATTTTTGTATAGATGTTCTTATATTGTATAGATATTCTTCTATTTTTAGCAGCAGAATGCAAGGCTGGCTTCTGTACTCAATATTTTAAAACTACTCTGCAGCCATTCAGGGACAAGTGCTTCAGTGAGTTAACTATTTTGGGTACTCTGCAGTATCACAGGTCAACAGTAACTAGGCTGAAATAAATCAACTTTTCTGCAAAAATCTTTACTCACAAAATACGCAACTACCCAGAAAACAGATGACTAACCTTTCACTCTGGGGTACTGGATAAAATAACCCATCCTGTGTTTCTAGCCAACATGATAATCACACCCTCCATTCCCCCAATCCACTTTTTATTTTAAATCAGAAAAAGAGTGGGTCTCAGCTTTGATTCATTCTGAGCTGGCTGAGATAAACTTATTGACTCACTGCCGAAGAAATACCTCAACAGAACCAGGAACACAGACTGGGAAGCCACCTACAGTGAAATCACCACCCACCATTAAGGCACTGCCCACAGTTAAAACACCCCCAAAAGTGCTGACCAGAACTAGAGAAGGACATCAGTCAACCAGGTAATTAGATATAATAGCCACCTAGAGGGCTTACGGTACATAAAGACTGAATTCTCTTTATCTTTAACAAAGCTAAACATAAGTTTCTGTCTCTTCTTCTTTATTCAGTAAATAACTACAATATATATTTACTTGCTTTTATTTTTATGAATGTAATATGAGAAGTGTTCTCTATCTTATTGTTTAGAATATATTGGTTAGAACTACATCTCTACCTTTCTTTTTTTAAAAAAAGTTTCCTATCCACTAAAAACAAAACAAGAACAGCTACCTAGAAATCTAAGAAAATAAAGGTTTTTTAAATTTTAACTAAAACTAGAAGCAATTAAGGACACCAAAATTGTATTGTCATTGTTATTGTATATTTTGTTAAATATGTATCACACAGGTATCACTGTTTTGTGTAGAACAATGCAATACTAAAATAAATTGCTTCATTTAATTGTCTCTGATATATTCCTGAGAGCTTCTAGAAGGAAAAATAACTACTAAGGAAATTGAAAATTATTGCTAGATAGATTTTTCTTAAGCTCTGTAATTTCAATAACAGAAGAAAAGTACATATTGATGTATAACATCTTGGTGAAATAATGTGCGATAATTATTTAAACTGGGAGAAAAAAAATCTTGTTGGTTTTAAGATTAAAAGTTGGGCTGGGCACAGTGGCTCACACCTATCATTCAAGCACTTTGGGAGATTGAAGTGGCAGGATCACTTGAGGTCAGGAGCTGGAGACCAGACTGGAAAACACAGCAAGATGCCCATCTTTGCAAAAAGTGTAAAAAAAAAATTAGCCAGGCCTGTAGTTCCAGTTGTTCAGGAGGCTGAGGCAGGAGGATTGCTTGAGTCCAGAAGGTTGAGGCTGCAGTGAGCTATGATCATACCACTGCACTTCAGCCTGGGGGACAGTGAGAACTTGTCTTTAAAAAATAAAACATTAAAAGTTAAAATTAATTAAAAATTAGGTAAATCTTTACATTAGAGAAAAAATATATTTTAAAAACATAAATATGACACTTTAAAGAGGATTAAAACAGGAAAAAAATTGCTATTTTTCTCTACCTTAAAGTTTCCATAATATTAAAAACTGGGAGATAGCAAGAGTATTTCTCTACCTTAGTGACTAACATATAATATACTAGTTAAATAATTATTCAAGTAAGAAGAATTTTTAACTGAAAGGTAAATTTAACATTGTGTGCATTAAAAAATAAAGAATTATGATAGCTTATTTAAGATACATATACACTGAGCTTGTTGATGACAGTATAGTCTATAGAAAATGCTTGTATAGAATATTTATTTTTTCTTTCTTCAAATGATTTAGAGTGTCAAGTCAAGGATCTGAAGGAAATAAGGAAGTGCCAAAAGGTTAAGTACAGTTTGTGATAATTACTGAGTTGGTATAAGGAAACCAGTAAGTACTAACTACTTAGGGGATAGATTTTAAGGAACTGTGCTTTTAAAGAAAAAAATAGAAAAATACAATAGTGATTTCTGGCTCAACTCTGCTGAATTTCTCACAAAGATAAACTTGACATAAATGTGCCTTTTGTTTTGAAAGGCAAAATGCATGAACAGGGACAGAAACTCTTTGAGACGTAAAACAACAGGACAACAGGTACTATAGGTTTGGTTGTGCCAATTCAGTGAGAAGGAAAACCCTGCATTGACCTGACAAAAGGACAATGATCTCAGAGTTTTTGGTTATTTACAGTTTAACTGTCATGGAGCTAAATGATTTCACTGGGAACAAAGTCAACTAGGAAGAAGAGTAAAACAGCAATCACCCATTAGTGGGTGTCCTATGAAACCACTGACATGCTGTAAGAAAGAGCAGTTTCATGCCCCCACCAGAGGCCCAGCTCCTTCTACAGGAAGACTAGGGAGATTCAAGAATTGTGGAAAATCCTACTTTGGTCCAGGATAGTCCAAATAAAGCATCCTTGTAGCTTTGGCATCTTCTAGCTTTAAAACAAGCATAGCAATAATGACTGCAGAGCCACAACTATGAAGCCTGTCTATAAGCTATAAACAAAAATCTGTCTTGTTATTTCTACAAGTCCCCTTACACCAGGAATTAAATGTAGTCAGAGTTCCTTGAGGTCGCTTTAGACCTCAGAAGGTTCCATTGGGGTTAACCAAACCCAAAGGAGGGGCTCTATCTGCTAACAGGCAATAATAAGTATAGTATAGATATTAGAAAGTACTCCCTTACTCTGACTACAAGGGTAGCCTATTGTATCTGGTCTCTCCTATCGAACTCTTCATCCTAGGGCTATACAACCATGGCAGTAAAGGTTTCTTTTATTCAACTTTATGTCTTACCTGTAAGGCCCACATATATTTTATCATCTAGATACTTAAAACTTTTTTGCATGATAATGCCCAAATCATGCCTCTTTCTCTCCATCGTTGATATTTAGCATCTCGGCAAATCCCTATTCCTGCTTAGGTACAACTATGTAGGTCTTATGAGAACAATTAATTTGTTTTAACCTGTTTGTCTCTTCTCATGTCTCTCTGGGCCATAGATCTTCCTCCTTTCTCTCACACGTCCCCTCCTTGCCCACCACTCTTACCAGTCACCAACTGCATATCATTCCTACCAAAATAATATTTGCTTCTAAGAGTGAAAGAACACATCTTGCATGTTATAGAACAAATAACTCATTAAAGATGAGCAGGTGGTAAAGAAAAAAAAAGAATAAATTCTTTTATAAATTTTGGAACTTCATACAGCTTTTTTGTATATCATTAGCTACTAAAACATGGTAGAAGCTGTACTCAGTGTCTCAATTATGGTCTTATTTAGATTTTTTTTTTTTCTATTTCAGAGACTGAGCACAAGTCCCCATTGTTTCTAAGAAGAAATAATGTGAAAATACCTGTTGCAGAATATTTCAGCAAACCAAAGTCTCCTCCCAGGCCTAACCCTCAGGATAGTGAATCAGCAAAACCAATGCCAGCAAGGAATATAAGAGAATACAGTCTCAGTCCCCAAGGAGTATCTTATCCTTTCACATACCAAAGATAGAAGTTCTAGATGGGGCTAATTATTTCACAAACATAAGCTTCACATGTACAATATCAAATTCTTTGTTAAATAAATATTTTTAATATTAGGAATCAAGTGGTCCTCTTTATGGGGGTACATGTAAATCTCCAAACATCTGTATACTATGCTACAAATGAATACTAATGAAGACAATATTTCTATTTGTAGTTAATTTTAATATCATGTCTAAAAGAAATGTTTCCTTATATGCTACGTTTTCAGTCTTGCACTCTTAGTCTTAATATAGAAACATAGATCCCTGATATTAGAAAAATAATTCATAATCAGAATTAGGCAGTGACAGTTTGATACCTATCCCAAACTCTGTCTGAGGAAAAACAAAAACTAACAAAAAACTGAGAATTTTTTTTTCACTTTTAAATTTTTTATTTTAAAATTGTGGGGTGTAATTCGGAGTTAAGTATACAAATATTTACTGTGCAGGTACCCTTGTTGATGAGGTGTGCCCCCCTTCCCCAGGCAGTTTCCCACTACTGCCAATCCCACCTCCCCACCCCCCACACCCCCACAGTTTCCCACTACTGTCAATCCTTTTCTTATAGTATTATGATAGTTATTAAAGATCTACTTATGAGTGAGAACATGTGATACTCAGTTCTCTGTCTCTGTGAAAGATCACTCAAAAACTGAGAATTTTAACATGTGAGCTGACTTTTGCAATCTATAGTGTTTTGGTGTTGCTAAACTATTAGGGAAAAATGCTCAGCTTCCCTTCCCAAATAAAAGATATAAAAATTATTTCTAACTTATGAGCCAGAAAGAAACTAGTTTCCACTCAATTCTAATGATAAATACTAATAACCTTCTTAATATTAAATTTTTTGTATTTTTAAAATGAACTGCTCTTGGTCCATAGCTAGTGTTCTTTTAGTGTGTGACCGGATTCCATCTACCAGTAAACCAATCTTTTATTTAGGATGTTTGCATCAATATTCAAAATAGATACTATAAAATCTGTGTATGTGCATATGCATTTTTGTGTCCCACATGTGCATAAATCTTAATGATAACATTTATATTACACTTATTATGTGTCAGAAATCATTCTAAACACTTTTGACATAATTTATTTAATTTTCACAAAAACTATCTGAGGTAGCTACTATTCCTTTTTTTTCTTTCTTTCTTTTTTTTTTTTTTGAGTGGGAGTCTCACTTACCCAGGCTAGAGATGCAGTGGTATCCACACAGCCACTACCGCCTTGATTCACTGGGCTTAAGCAATTCTATCACCTCAACCTTCCAGTTAGCTGGAACTACTACATGTGTCACTAATGCCTGGCTAATTTTTTGATTTTTTGTAGAAACAAGTTCTCACCAAGTTGCCCAGGCTAGTCTCAAACCCCTGGGCTCAGGCAATCCTCTTGCTTTAGCCTCCCATAGTGGTGGGATTATAGCTGTGAGCTACCGTGCCCAGTCACTCATTTATTTAAATAAGAAAACTGAAGAACAGAGAATTGAACTCACTGAGATGTCATAACACATTCTGTTATTCAAATACAAGACTTCCCACATACAAGTCCAAAATGTGTGTTCTTAGTCAACAGACAACTTTTTTTTACTTGGTGATTTAGAGGTCCAGGATCCTTCCATCTTGTGGCTCAGTCATCACCTGGGACTTCATTGTCAGCTGTATCCAGCGAGTAAGAGGAAAATTAGTGAAGGAAAGTATTAATTCCTATTGCTGTTGTAACAAATTACTCCAACATATTGACTTAATGCATCATAAATTTATTCTCTTACAATGCTGGCGGTAGAGGTCTGAACTGGGTCTCACTGGGTTAAAATCAAGGTGTTGGCATGGCTGCATTTCTTTTGGAAGTCTTAAGGGACAATTTATGTCCTTATTTCCATCTTCTAGAGGTTATCCACATTCTTTGTTTCCAGGCTCTCTTCTGTCTTCAACGGCAATAATAGCCAGTCAAGTTGTTCTCATAACAAATTGCTCTGACACTGACTCTTCTGCCTCCTCCTTCCACTTCCAAACATTCTATGATTACATTAGGCCTGACTCTTATCCAGCTTATCCAAGATAATCTCCTTATCTTAAGGTCAGCTGATTAGCAATTTAGTTCCTTCTGCAATCTTAAACTTAAACTTACCGTGTAACATAACATATTCACAGGTCTCGGGGATTAGGAACTTTGAGAAGACATTATTCTGCTTTCCACAAGGAGAGCACATCTGCTTAAAGTCTTGGTCTTAAAATGATAAATACTTCTAGCCACATTCCATGGTTGAGAACTAGACTAGCTGAAAGGGAAGCTCCTTAAAAACACTTGAGTAGAAACCATTTTCCAATTACACCTATACTCCACTGAAAGGGAAATTAGATTTTGGTTGACAGTTAACTCCCTCTGACACAAAGGTTTAGTGATTGGCACAAAGTAATCTATATGCTTAACTACTAGATGCTACTGTTAGGTATTAAGATTATGCCTAATTCATAAAATTAATATAGCAGTGCACTCTTTCTCTTTCCTATTACAAAGAGGTTACAATAGCATTGCCAATTTCACTTCTTTAAACATGTGGTAAAATTCACCTATCAGACCATAAGATTTTGAGTTATGGGTGGTGGTAGCCCTTTGATAATTTTATTTCTCCTTTGGTAACTGGTCTGTTTATATTTTTTGTATTTGGAGGAGAGTCAATTTTAGAGATTTATATTTTCCTAGAAAATTATTCATTTTATCCAGGTTTTCAAGTTTATTTTCATAGAACTGAGACAGATTTATCTCAGAGTTTTTCTAAATCCTTGTTTATTCTGCAATCTCACTTTTATATATTTGCAATTTTGTTCTTGACTAAGTTAATGACTTTTTTACACTTTACTATCATTTTCAGAAAACCAGATCTTGGATTTATTTGCATGTTCAACAATTTTTCTGTTTCTAATTTCATTTTTAAAAAAATTTCTTTAGGTTCATCATTGTTCTAATGTCTTGAGTTGAATATTTTTAATATGTCTATATTGTCATTCTCACTTATTAGCGTGTTTTTAGGGTGATTAATTTTCCTCTAATTACAGTTTTAGATAGATCTATAGGTCTGATATGTAGTGTTATTATATCTATTTCCAAAATATTCTGTAATTTCAGATCTGATTACCTCTTTCATTCAAGATTAAAAAATTTTCTTTTTAATTCTAAGTAGTAATGTTTTTATCCCATCCCACCAAGTTTATTTTATAGTTTAATGCATTGCTATTAGAGAAGTTGCCTATTTAATTTCTATTTTTGGAAGTTTATTTTCCCTTGTGGTCTAATATGGTTACTTTTATAAACATTGAAACACTAGAAAGATCCATTTTTGCTTGTTTGTTTTCAGCCTATAGAACATCACTATCTGCATTATTATTATTACTATTATTTGAGTCAGGGTCTTACTCTACCACCCAGGCAGGAGTGTGGTGGCATAATCATGACAATCACAGCTCATGGCAGCCTGGACCTCCTGGGCTCCGGTAATCCTTCCTGAGTAATTGGGACTACAGGTGTGCACTACCATGCCAATTTTAAAATTTTTTTATTCATGGTAGAAAAATGGTTTCACTATGTTGCCCATACTGGTCTTGAACTCCTGGTCTCGAGCAATCTGTCAGCCTTAGCCTCCCAAAGTGCTGGGATTACAGGTGTGAGCCACCATGCCTGTTCTTCTATCTCCATTATTAATGATAGCATTTACATTTTCCATTTGTTCATCGTTTGTCCACTTGAGCTGTCAGAGGTTGAGAAATATAAAGACTTCATATACTGCTGTTTCTTATTTCATGTGATTTCCAAGGTTTTTTTCCCCAATAAATTTGAGTATTATGCTACCTACTGCATAAATATCAATAAGGGTTAGATCTTTACTAAGGAGTGCCTTCTTGACCATTACAATATGCCCTTCTTTGCCTTGATGACTTGTAATATGTTGGCCCCTATCCAATGTTAAGACTATGACTTCTGTCTTCCTTTTATTGGCCTGGTATGACTTTTTCTATTTATTTTCAACTTTGCTGAGTAGCTTTAAATACCGCATATATTTCTTTTTAAAAGCAATCTGAGTGGTATTTAGACCACTTAATTTGCTTATAGGACATACAGATTTTTGTCCTGTGTGGTTATTGTGTTTTATGTTAGCATTGTTTTTAATGCTTTTATAAATGTTTCACTAATAATCTGTAATTTCCTTGTTTTTAGTGAGTGTTCATTTGGTAATTTAGAAAGCTTACATTTAAAAAATCTTGTCTAAGTCTGGGTTCCTCAGAAAGTAGAGCCTAAAACAACAGCTTATATATAACACCCTTTTTTAGGGGAGGTGTTTTCAAGGGGGGAAAGAAACAAGGGAAATGAGGCAAGAAATGAGAGGAAGCCAATGCAAAAGAAAGTATTATTGAGTTAGCTACTGCTTAGTTTCAAACAAAATTGTTTGCTCAAATCTTAAGAGACAGAGTAAATGGAATAACATTCCCACTTTACATACAACATGGAGACTCAAAAAGGTTGGACAACTTGCCCAAAGTCACACAACTGACAGTGGCAAGGTTTGTTAAGCTTAGTCCAATTTCCAACTCTTTTCATAGATTCTGTCAATGTACTACCTCTGGTCTCTTCTTCACACTTATTAAATGACTACTATATGTTTGGCAATGAGCTGGGAAGAGATAAACATTTCTATGCTAATTGAGATAAAAGTTTAATGACTATTATACATCTTAATTATATTCCCTGACATTCTCTTTTCTTTTCTTCCTTATCTCACTTTATCTGTTGTTTGTGCTTGTTCGGTGCTCTCTGGACAACTCTTGCCTTTTATCTGTATCATCTCAGTGACCCTTTCCATCTATAAAGTGAAAGGGAGTATCACTTTACTTGGCAATTGTAATTGGTGGGTTTTATCACTGTTCATTTGCTTCCTACAAGACATTTCTTCAGTAGAATTGCTCTTATTTTCTTTTTCTCTTCTGATCATTTTCAAATGCTACAAGATGTCTGATCTCTGGAGAAGTGGACTGGAGAATGGTTCTTTCCTTAAGTTTGCTTTATGATGACTGTAGGTTATCAACAAAATTCAGTCTGAGGAAAACCTATATTTCAGCACACATACATCCTTTTGATGCATTTATTTAAGTATTCACTGAATTCTCTAATGTTCCAATACAAGTAACTTTAATACTTCCTGGTTTTAACTAATAAGGAATCTAAATAAACCAAAACAATGTTGAGAGAAAATGATATATTAAAATGAGCAAAAGGCTTAATAATATTTTTAAAACCAAATTTTTAAATACCTCAAAAATTAGTTATATCCGTGGTAATCTTTACCTTCTTGCCACCAGCAACCTACATAAGATATGGGCTTTTAGTGGATAGAATTGTGTCCCTTCAAAAGATATGTCAAGTCCTAACATCTGATACCTGTGAATGTGATCACATTTGGAAATAAGGTCTTTGCAGATATTATAAGTTAGATAAAGTCAAAATAGACTATGATGAGACCTAATCCAATGTTGGTCTCCTTATGAGAAGAGGGATTTGATTATGTACACGGACACAGAAGACATGGGAGTAAGACCAAGTAACAACAAAGAAAAACTGGAGTGATGTAACTACAAGCTAAGGAACATCAGGAATTGCTGGAACCACCAAAAGCTGGGAAGAGACTAGCAAGTAGTCTTTCCTAGGGCCTTCGGAGGAAGAATGGTCCTGTGGCACCTTGATTCTGGACCTTATAGCCTCTGGAATTGTTGGAAAATAAGTTTCTGTTGTTTTAAGTCACTCAGTTTGTAGTGATTTGTTATGGCACCCTTAGGAAACAATTACAGGATTTTTTATAATTAATAAAAATTAAATGATGTAATGCCTATAATGATTTTCCCCCTCCTTCAATAATTAAATAAGGCTCTATTCCATATGAAATAATTTAATTAAAAGGCATAATATTTCATGCTAGGAAACCATATTTACTCAGAAAAAACTAAACCTTTGAAAAACACAACTTAAGACACAAACTTTATTATTTTAGAATTGTAGGGTTTTTCTTTTTATATATATATATATTTATTTTAACGATGTGGAGTACAATTTAAGGACTTTTTTTATTTATATACCTCACTCACAGACTTAAAATACTTAAAATAAATATGTATAATTGAGCCGGGCTCAGTGGCTCAGCCTGTAATCCCATGCTTTGGGAGGCTGAGGTGAGTGGATTGCCTGAGCCCACGGGTTCGAGACCTGCCTGGGCAATTTGGCAAGACCTCATTTCTACAATAAATCAAAAAATCAGCCAAGCATGGTAGCGCACACCTGTAATTCCGGCTACTCGGAAGGCTGAGGCGGAAGGATCGCCGAAGCGTAGTGGGTCGAGGCTGCAGTGGCCAGGAGCGGCCACTGCACTCCAGTCTGGGCAAGAGTGAGACTCCAACTCAAAAACAAACAAACAAAAAATACATATAATTGAATAAGAATAAAACAACAAAAAGAGACAATGAACATCAATAATAAACCCAATAAACTTTCTACTGTATGTGTGTGTACAACCTACATATACATTTAAATCTTATGCAAAAGCAAAAAATATCTTCTTACAAAGTTTAAAGAACTTTTTTATATCATTTAACTTTTCAAGGAGTTTTAAAAATTCACAAAACAGAAGTAAGAGAAAACAAAATATTCTTCCAATTTCAATATTCTGTATAGCACCTCACTTTCTCCAGTTTATTTCTGCATAAGTTACATATGTTAGTATGTAGCTTATACATAAGTTATTTATTTTTTAAATATAACTTTTATATGTTTTAAAAGAGGAAAAGAATAGCAACTTATTTTATCCAAACTCAGTGAAGGTTCCTAAAATCTTACTTTAGTTGTGACTGGGAAAAATCAATCACTTTACCTTAAACATTTAATGGCTCTACAATTACTGGTAGGAAACCAAAACAGTTCCCTTTCACACTGTCCTCCCTTGCCGATGTTGCCATATAAGTGTTTAGTTATGGATTTTTGCACTTCAGTAAACTCAAATTTCTCTTAGTGTACTCAACACAACAATTCACATAAACAATACAGATATATGGCAAATCAACCATTATTATAATCAATCAATTATTAACTAAGAACCATACACAATGTGGACAAACAGATGTAAATACAATTATATACATATTTACAGACACATATCTTTACATTAGTTTGGATATTATTATATAAGAGGATGCAAATACAAACCCAAATTTTATTCATCTTAAGAGCCAACAAATATTTTATTTTTTAAAATTTATGAAAAAAAAGAGCTGCTAAGAGCTGCTTCATTTTAAATTCAGGTAAGGACAAAATAGATCTTTTAATAGTAACAGCCTTATAAAATAATTTAGCCTGCAAAAAATCAATTTTATTATTGAAATAATTAATTATCATTTTAAGAAGAAAATGCATTAAAAAGATTCTCAACACTTCAGTGATTACTTCAGAATCATGAAAAAGCATCACAAAGGAACAGATACAGCCTCCATAGTCCAAGACAAATGAAATGCTGAACCTATCAAACAGATGCTCCTTTCTAAAATTACTATATTTCTTTAAAGTAACTAAATTGAATATAAAAGCTGAAAATAGAGGGTAATCTCCCATACACAACATTCTGGCTGATGTACAGGATATTTATAAATATCTGCCCCCACATATAAGTAGGTAATAGATCAGAAAGACATCGATATGAACATAAAATAATAAAACTGAAAGGTCAGAAGGCACATTCTAAAGAAAATACAATAAATGAAAGAAAATGAAAATATACTAATAAAGTAAAATTCTCTAGAAACTACTATTTGAGGCTTACAAAACTTAAAATAAAAACCTACATATACATTTAAATCTTCTTATGCAAAAGCAAAAAAATATTTTCTTACAAAGTTTAAAGAACTTTTTATATCATTTAACTCTACAAGGAGTTTTAAAAATTCACAAAACAGAAATAAGAGAAAACAAAATATTCTTCCAATTTCGATATTCTATATAGCACCTCACTTTCTCCTAATTTTTGTTAAACTAAAAGGAAAGCAGTTAACATTAATGTGGTAGAGAGTTCACCATAGATTCAGTGTTATTTTCCTTATCCTGCTTTTCTTCTTCATGTGATGAAGTCAGTTCATTTCTGCTATATTCTTCCTCACTGGAATCACTGTCCAAACCACCATCCACCCCAACACACAATATGTCATGAGAAGAACTTTCACAGGCTTTATCTGTGGGAACCGCTCCTTTCCTTTGAGGCAATATAGTAAAAAATGCTTCTTGCCAGTCTCTTGTTTCCAGGTATTCCAGAATGATCTCAAACACTGCAATAAAGACAACCACCATACATTCCTTAGCCAAGATTCCCACAATGCTGAACACTCTTATTTAAATGCATTTGCCTTGGTGTTAAGAGTACTAGTTTGTCCTAATAACTACTTAGTTCTTACCTCTTCCTACTATTGGCTGTCAGGACCAGTTTACCCCCAAGGCACTCAAGCCTGGTACCTCCAATCTAGCTTTTCCTCAGTTCTTAAGCACTCAGAAATTAAAGTGTCTCTTGTCAATTATAATCAATAGACAGGACATTTTAGGTTTCCTTCCTATTTTTTAGCTTTTCAGTCCTTTCACTTCTTTAACCTTTATGTGCTAACGTACAATTAGGAAAAAAAAAAAGGTTAGCATTCATCTAAATTTCTTCTACCTTTCCTATAAAGACCCACTCACTCTGAGGAGCTCCTGGCCTGCTTTTTTTACATTAGTAAGAAGAATATCAACACGGTCTCCCAAGCATTCTCACTTCAGCACACTGCTAAAGGGTTAATTTAGATTACTTTGTGGAAAAGTAATTTTCATTCTATATTAATTGTTTCAGAAGAAGTTAATTCCATGAATCAATATCATTTCTGTAACTCCCTAGACCTGCTATATAGAAAGTATTCATCATATAAAAGGGTTCAATAAATAGCTGTATATCCAACTAAAATCTCATCTTTAAAAATTTAAAGACGCAAAGTCCAGGCAAAAACTTAGGTCTAAGAATGTCTATTCCAATATTAGTTAAGACAGTAAAAATTTTTTTAAAAATTAACAAAACAGAAATAAGAGACTGACATATAGGAGAATGGTTAAATTACTGTATATTCAAATGATGGAATATTACATAATCATTAATAATCATTCTATGACATGGAAAAATAAAATAATAAATGGGGGAAAATATACCAGGTTTATAACAACATATGTAATAAAGTAAGAATTCAATTATGTTATAAATAGTAATATACATGCATAGGAAAATTAATGAAAGGAAACATCAAAAAGTTAACACCTAGTATATTGTACACAAGGTTACAGCTAATATTTTAATACTTTGTACATTTTCAAAATTTTCTAAAATATGCATTATTTCTCTTATTTAACAAATTATAATTGGTTATCTTTTATAATTTTGTCCCCACAAGGTGCAATATTTTTCACTTGTCCAAATATTACATGTAGTATTCTTTCTCACTCAGGTATATTTTCAGTTTACCCTTTATTGCTTACCATGATTAACTGCCAAAACTTTTCGACTATTCATCTTTACAAAATTTCCAAGGGGTAGCTGTGCATGATCAATTCCATAATCTGATGCTTGTTTATATGTGATTCCCTAAAACAAAGACATTATGACTTGGACTAGAACATTAAATTATTTAAAGTCTATGACAGTATACTTTTTAGAAAAGTCTGTAATTAATAGAATATCACCTAAAGAGGGCATGTGTGTGACTGCTAATTTGGAAACATTCTCTTGACAGTAAGTATAGTCAGAATGTTTACAGCATTTATTTTAACATCTTCAAATTACAAATGAGAGAAGGAAAGACATTGTTTCCTGTCAGATGCAAAGTTCCTCAGTAGCAGAACCACAAGAAAAACCTGGTTCACGTGTCTCCTCACTCAAATACCTTTTCACCATTCCACCCTGTCTTTCTCTTAGTTTAATTTAAGAGTCATGCACTGCATAACAAAGTTTCAGTCAACAATAGAATCCATGTTCCATGGTGGTCCCATGAGACTATAGTGCAGCTGAAACATTCCTGATGTCTAGTGAACTCATAGCTGTTGAAACATCAGAGCACATTACTCATGTGTTATGAGTACTCATGTATCATGTGTACTTACTACAGACACATGAGTAATTTGTGGAAGCAAACCCCCTGTGTTGCGGTCGTATAAAAGTACAACACATACAATTATGTACGGTAAATAATACTTGATAATGATAATATATGACTATGTTACTGGTTATGTATTTACTACACTATACTTTTTATCATTAGAGTGTTCTCCCCCTACTCACTAAAAAAACAAAACAAAACCCCAGTTAACTGTAAAACAACCCCAGGCAGGTCCCTCAGGAGGTATTCCAAAAGAAGGCATTGTTATCACAGGAGATGACAGCTCCATGCATGCTACTGTCCTGAAGACCTTCCGGTGGAACAAGATGTACAGGTGGAAGATAGTAATATCAATGATCCTGATTTATAGCTTATAGGGTAAGAATATAAAGAAAGAAAAATATTTTGTATTGCTGTATTGTGTGTTTGTATTTTAAGCTAAGTGTTACTAGAAAAGAGCCAAAAAGTTAAAAAAAATTTTTTAGGTTTATAAAGTAAAAAAGTGATCGTTAAGCTAAGTTTAACTTTTTATTGAAGAAAAATTATAAAAATAAATTTAGTATAGCCCAAATTTGCAGTGTTTGTAAAGCCTACAGTAGCATACAGTAGTGTACATTAATGCCCTAGGCCTTCACAGTCACTCACCACTCACTCACTGATTCACCCAGAACATTTCCAGTCTTGCAAACTCCGTTCATGTTAAGTGCCCTATACAAGTATACCATTTTAAAATATACCATATTTTTACTGTACCTTTTTATATTTAGATATGTATAGATACACAAATATCTACCATTGCACTGCAATTGCCTACAGTATTCAGGACAGTAACATGCTGTACAGATTTGCAGCCTAGGAGCAACAGACTATAACATATAGCCTATGTGTGTAGTAGGCTATACCACCTAGGTTTGTGTAAGTATACTCTATGATGGTCACATGATGAAATTGCCTTATGATGCATCTCTCAGAACATATCCCTGTCATTAAGCACTGTATTGACTGTACTCAAGCTGAATTCCTAGGAAGGCACCATCACTCTTTCCACACGTGTAAAAAAAAATAAAATAAAATAAAAACCATTGTTTCAATTATATAACACTACTTTACACAAATAACAAATTAAACTGAAACTTAAGCTAAGAAGTTATAAGTAACTGCTTATTAATTTTATTTTTCTCTTTCTTTCAGTAAAAAAAAAGTTGAATGTGAATTTCATCTCTTCTAAAAATTAAAATTCTAACCAGAACCGAAATGGTCAAAAGACAGAGTATAGGTGAAAGGAAAGCTCAATTTCTCAACTGATGATTTACCTATTTGAGGGGGTAAATAATAATAGATTGAAGCAGGTGCTTTTGAAAACAAAATTATTTTAGTTTAGAGAAACATATATATGAGAAAAAAAATCGTTCTATATAAATAACAAAACAGGACTTTTCCACTAAGAAAACAATAAAAAGGCTAAAAACCATTTTGACAAAATCCCCTATGATGCTCTATAGCTGTCAGATTGATAGCCACATGTGACTACTTAAATTTAAACTAATTACTTCAAATTTTTAAAAATTCAGGTCCTCAGTTATCCTGTACACATTTCAAGTGCTCAACAGCCACACAGCTACCATACTAGGCAGGCAGATATGAATATTTACAACCTTTGAAGACAGTTATACTTGCACAGTGCTGCTTTACAAGATTAAGGGATTACTTCACATTCTTCTGCTGACAACTCCTCAGATACTTAGTAAATGTGTTTTTCCCTTATCTGGGTTGAATTTAGCCTGCTGCAAAGTAGCTGGCCAAGTACAAAATGACGTTTTCTTTTAGAAAGCACATTTCCCTAATTTTTCATCTGAATAAGGGTATGGGTGAGAAGACAGAAAAGTACAAATATACGAGAATAGAAAAAACATCCCATGAAAAGCACAATTTAAGCACCCCAGTTTAAATTTCAATTGCTTAGCAACTGATGAGCAGCAGCATCTTCTACCAATACAACACAATGTTGAAGCACACAGACTCTGGAAGAATCTGCCTGGTTTCAAATACCTGCTTTGCCACTTGCTACTACTGATTTTAGACTTAGTTTCTCTGTGCTTCAAATTCCTAATCTGTAAAATGTAGATAACGATAGCACTGACATCACTGGGTAGTGAAGATTAAGCAAGCTAATTCATGGGAAGTACTTTGATTAGCTAAAAAGGTGACTGAAATATAGTAGGCGCTCAGTAAAGATCAGTTCTCTTTAGTGTTATTTTCAGGAAACTCTGAAATATCGATTTTAAGTATAAGCAAAGCAAAAATAAAAACGTAATAAAACCTTGTGATGGTTGTGATCTACTAATCCTCCAATCACATAGGCCTTTGATTCATCTAATTCCTTCAGTACATTAGGTGAATCTGATGTAAGATAAATCAAGTCTTCTTTTTTTATGAGTTCACTATAGTGCTCTCGTTTGATGTGGATATCCTTTAAGACACAAGGGGAAAGATATTACTAATTATTAGGATTTTGTGAACAAAATTGGCTAAAAATAATTCTTCTTTTCCCAAAACCCATCCAAGAACCTCTGAAATGAAGTCTGAAGGAATATGATTACAATTTACTATTTAGAGCTGCTAACCAATTCCTTTCACCCTGCACCTTGATCATATAAACAACCTCTTAATTTTCTTTCCCTGTTGGTGGCCTCAGAACCCATCAATCTACTTCCACACACTGATGGTGGGCTCACTTTCTAAAAACACTGCTTTCAATGTTTTATTTTTTTTTGTAGGATAAAAATCCTAACTCCTTAACTTAGTAACTCTTTCCTCAATATGGCATTAAACTACTTTTCCAACTTTATGTCTGTTCCAACAAAACAAATGCATTTTTACTGCTACGTTTGCTCACATTGTTCTCCAAAGAATGCCTTCTCCAATTACTTCTTCTCCATCTACACAAATCATCAAAGTTATAATTATAGATTTAATTAATTCTTAGAAAATTATTTCTTAGAAAAATAGGCATGTACATAGGATTTGGTAAATACATTGTACTTAAAAACTTAGAAAGTCTTTGAAAACATTTCATAGTATAGATTATTAATAAAATAAATACTGCCATTATGGAATTAGTGAGTATAAAAGAGAAAAATCTGTCACTGAGAGAACTGACTTGGAGAAAGGAATAAAAGTATAGGGATAACCCAGTACATCTCTGAATAGGATAGTTCCTCAGGGACCAGTACCAATTCAATGTATTGAGTCATCTTAAATAACAACAATCTTAAGAACAACATCTTAAGAACAATCCAGTCCAACAGAAAAAAAATGTGAGCCACATATGCAATTTCAAATCTTCTAATAGCCACAATAAAAAAGAGAAAATAGGTGAAATTACTTTTAGCAATATATTTTATTAACACAATATACCCAAAATGTTATCATTTTAACTTATAATAAATATCCTAAAAATTGTCTAGGAGATATTTTACATTCTCCTTCTTTCTGTGGTACTGAAATCTAGCATATATTTCATATTCATAGCACATCTCAATTTATAATTCAGATGTCACATTTCAAGAGTTCAACAGCCACAAGTGGTTAGTGACCACATATTGGACAGCACAGATTTAAAAGAAACAGAACGCAGGTATACTTCCAAAATTTAGAGTGATTTCACTTTCACAGATAATGTATAGCATATATTTAGTTTGCTAGGAAGAAATTATATAAAGATCTTTAAAATGATTTCTTTTTTTAAAATGTTTTAAAATTGGCAGTAAAATAGCAGATAAGATTTAATGAGACAAAGTGCAAACTAAAAGACATCTCCCTCTCTTCTTCAGCTTCTCTCCTTTGTAATCTTATACAGTGATACACAAGGACTGGAGATTGCTGTATTCAGTAGGATTATATAGAATTTAGGTACAAAATGTAGACCATTAGAGGCATAAAAATACTTGGAATTATGTGAGAGTTGATCTGTTTTAATTACCTTCCAGTTGACCCATCCTTTGTCATTTTCATCCATGTTCTTTTTCAGCTGGCCTCCATGGCTTGTCAAGTAAAACTGATAAAAGATTTGTAAGTACAGAAAATGGTCAGTTAAGTCTAATATTCCATTTCCCTTATCTACTCATCTATCACTAATGAAACACAAAATATATTTATTCTCATGGATCTAGAAAAAAGTAATTTGTGACATGTTTTAAGCATTCAATAAACTGTGGTAGAACTGACATGATTTGTGTATCTCATAACTCACTAGCTTCAGTACTCCACCTATATTTTCACGTCTCTCCCAAGTCATTATAATCTACCTTTACCTTATGATCACTTTTCTGTAAACTCCCTGCTTCTATGTCAGGTTCCCACTCCCTTAAAGTCTTTTATAATTTTTCTTTGGTTCTAAACTCTGACACCTATTTAAGTCTAAATCAAGAGTGAAAAGGGGCCTATTACAGATAAAAATGAGGATATAAGGGCCATCACAGACATGTGATATAAAATTATGAAATATATAAAATACAAAAAATATAAAATTACTGGTTGCTGCTTCTTAATGTCAGTGAGCCAAAGTTTTTAGGTCACCTAGAATTAACAAGAAAGATCCTAATCTTAACAGCAGCCAACTAGTCTCCCAAATCACTTCCTCACCTCAGCTTAAGAAACGCCTTTCAAAATTATCAGTGACTTAAAAGGGAACTAAAATCCTTTAAGTAGACACAGCCTGTACAACAGGTATCACAGCACATCATCAGGTAGTGTCAGCTGCAGGCACTGTTTTCCTCTTCAACCTCCCTCTCATGACAGGAAGGAACAAAAAACTGAGAAACTGGTATGAAAATATGTATGTATCCTATAATGAAGACATTAAACTACACAGCAGTGTACTCACCAATGTGTACAAGACTCATGATAATAAGAAAAAGTGTGCCTAAGAATCACTTATGTAAAAAGATGTTTTAAATATTTTGTTTTATTTTTATAGAAAAAGAATACATTCTTCAAACAGACATCAAACAATATTATCCATAAGACTCTTGCAAAGGCAGTTGGAATTATCTAAGTCTTCTGCCATGGAAAATGTAAAAGAAAACTGGAGTCTTTTAAATTCTTCAGACATACCTGCACAGGATGCAGTGCCCGTCGGTTTTCTGAATAACATCGTTGAATCTGCCTATGAAGTTTCTTAATGTCCTATAAAAGAGTGCAATTTTTAAAGCAAAGTTATAAAAATCATCTATGGTCATTCCACTTAAGATTCCAGGATCTTAAAGGAATAGAATAAGCAGAAGAAATGACTAGATAGGCACAATTTTTCTTTTTAAATACAAAGCCATTCTGAGAATTTTCATTTTATTTCCTTACATGCTAACAAAATTACTATAAGTTAATACTCTGTCAGTGACCCATTATTTCATATTTTATATTTATTTAAAATGCTAGTTCAGGAAACATCTAATCTCAAGAGACAATACCAAAATACCTCTGTTAGAGCCATACTATTATAACTTTCATTCCTTACCAATGATACTGGTAAAACTCCACAAGTCTTTATGACTAATATGTATTTATTCACTTTTATCATTTAACTATGAAGTGTAGGTGTGTCTCGCTCATCTACACATATATACACATCCTATACATAAATATACTATATATGTCAAAGCAATTTACTAGCTAATTTAACTTAGGTGCCAGAGATTTTGAAAAACTTGGTTTAAGATGCATGCTTGTATATACACTTATATCAAATACACATTTGATATTACATATAAAATAAGAATGATTCAGACTAGTTCACCCACAGGATTTTTCTGACAATGATTCATGATACCTTTAATACCATCAAGTCGTCAAAACTACAATCTATGATAAGGCGCAAGGTACTGTGAACAACATGTCTCCGAACACGTTTTCTGTCATTTCCGTCTGAGTTTGATTCCAGTTGACACTGTCGCTCTAGTTTTTTTCTCTTGCGTTTTTCTTTCCGCTTTTGTCTAAAATTAGCAATTGAAATAACTTTCTGTTATTTGTAAATTCACATAGTCACAAGACTTTTTGAAATGAACAATTTAAAAAAAAATTATTAGGTTGAGCCATATGAAACTGCCACTTCTGTGACCATTCAAAAATGGTCAAGTATTAGCAGTTTTATATAGTACATCTAAAAGTTTTAGATAGGGAGGAAATGAGTTTACAAAACAATAAAACTTTCTATGTAAATCTTCACTATACAATAGTTTCATTTATTACTGGCATCATACTATCCCTAAGAAAACCTCATAAATACTGAATTTGAATGTTATGATGAATTTTACTTTGATCATTCACCTTCTACATAATCTTTAAGCAACATTTATACGGCATAGACAAAAAGCAAAATAAAATTGTCAAAAAAAGTTTACATACTTTTACTCTAATTTACATAAACTTTTTGGCAATTACTTTTAATATGGCAAAGGGCTATGCAAGTTCTAATATTCCAGGTTTTTGAATAGGGACAGTGCACACACATTTTAAAACACATACTTGCGGAGTTCTCGTTGTTCTTCCCACTGTTTTTGTCTTATTAGTTTTTTCATTTGTCGTTTAGATATTGGCTCAACCCCTAACTTTGGCTTCTGGCTCGCTTCTTGATCCTCACTTAAGTCTTGCTTTTTATCAACAATAGAAGTCTCAATAAATGCTGGCAACATTTCAGATGACATTATTTGGTGCCTCTGAAAAACTGAAAAGCAACTTTTGACATCAACAAGTAATTTACAAACACCGAAAAAGTAAAAAAAAAAAAAAAAAATTCGAAATGACCAATAGATGCAATTAAAGTTCAACCATAACAGTGTTTAAATAGAAATGAAAATACAGACAATTCAATGTCATTTATTGACAAACACCATTTAACATCAATTAAATATCATCATTGACAATGTTGGTAAAGGTCTAAAAAAATGTGGTGTTTTCATATACTATTGGTTGTCATATACTATTGGTGGTCGTGATACAATACCGATATATGTTTCAAAAGCTTTAAAACATCGATACCCTTTGACTCAATTCATTTCCTTAGAATAAATTTCTGTAAATGAATCAGAAATGTACACAAAATTGTGCACAAGATTATAAGCATTGCAGAATTACTTTTAACAGCAAAGTTAAAAATTCCTTGAATGTCAGTAAAAGATTAAACGATTACATTTCATCTATAACACGGTCCAGGAACACTAAGCAGACAGTAAAACTCGGTGTTTCTAAGATTATTTAGTGATGAACGGAAATGGTTATGATAAGAAAATCAAAAAGTAATTGAACCAATTGAACAGAAAGTAATTACAACCAATTGTTTTTTAAAAAGCATATTCATAGACATGTTTAATTTTTACTCATGATTTTCTGCATTTTCTAAATTTTATAAAATGAAAATATATTTTCATCAAAACAAAAAATACTATTTTAAAAGAGAGCTGGAAAGTACTTTTTTTGTAGTCTTCTTTAATGTAGAATGAAGGGAATTACAAAAAAAGAACTGACTTAAAATAAAATCAATAATCAGGAAATTCACTCTACACAAATTAAAAATAATAGAGCAATTTGAGATGACTTTAAAATAAATTTGGTTGTAATATATCAGAGAGATCAAAAAGGAATAAGAACCATAAAAACAAAACAAAGTTGTGACATAAAAGCAGGCATTAAAAAAAGCAAAATAAGAAGCCATGAAAAGAATCAATTTGAAAACTAGGAAATGAAGACATAACAATTCAATAAATGATACAAACTCCAGATTACCTGGAGTCCAAGGTCATTGATGAACTACCTGACAATCTGACATGGGAAACAGGGGAAAAGAACAAAAAAATAATATGGAGGAGCACTTATGACTTGAATAAAAGAATGAAAGAGATATAAGAAAAAAGGTAATTAGAAATAAATGTACAGACTGAAGATGTCCCTTTTAAAAAAAATTTAGATAGAAGAGATTGGAAGTGGGGGAAGCTCAGTAAGACTAAAAAGATTTGAAGGAATAAAATTTAAATATATGTATTTTCATCCCCAAGATCACTTTTATTTTACTTCCTTTCCGTACACAGTACAATAAATAACATTCAGCAATGCAATAAATAACATTCAGCAATGCAAGTATCCTGGTGGATAAAACATATCAAACTAAACATAAAAACCTAAAAGAACAGTTAAAACGAACAGTCAACAAACTGCTGTCTTAAAAAATAATCAATATTATTCCAAGAGAGCACATTTCTGTTTATTGATGGCAATGTTTTGGGCTAGTGCCCTATTTTGTTCAAAAACTGCAAGTGTTCATTAGCTCTATCATGTGAAATACTTTTTCAAGCGATGCAATGTTTTATAGTTCATGTACACCAGGGGGAGCAGTTGCCTTTTCAACCTAGGAAGTCAAGTTAAATTTAACTTGACCTATCACAATATATGGTAATGTTTTAAACAGCTTATCAAATACAAGGAAAGGTCATGAGCTAGCCAACAGTGTTGTCGTTCTCGTGGTCGTCATCATCATCATAATTTTTTAGTTATTCCCAATTAAGAAAATGTACCCTACTAAGTGAATTTTTTAGGCTTTATATAAGGTGGATATACTGAAATATGAATAAGTACACTACAACAAAATGTTAGCTTGATATAAATAATTGCTTATGGTTTAACTTACAAAGATACCTACCAATTTGTACTGTTTGTACAATACAATAAGTATAATGCAGATATACACTGCACTATTGACTAGCTAGTTCAGATTACCTGTTAAGCAAAATATGACATTTTACTAGGTATACTTGCTAATTGTTTTAGTTTGGGCAAAAACTATAAAATCTGTATGGCAGGGCATTTTCATTCCTTCCTCACATGCATTGATGCTCACAGTACATTTTCATTCATTTAACCAAGTTTAACAAGTGTTTAAGAATGGTACTTAGGACCGGCAGGGTGGCTCACGACTGTAATCCCAGCACTTTGGGATGCAGAGGCAAGAGGATTGCCTGAGTCCAGGGGTTTGAGACCAGTCTGGGCAACTTAGCGAGACCTCATCTCTACAATAAATAAAAAAAATTAGCCGGGCATTGAAGCACGGGCCTGTAGTTCAGGCAGGCTACTTGGAAGGCTGAGGAAGAAGGATTGCCATAGCCCAGCAGGCAGGTCGACGCTGGGACGCTGGTGTGGCGGTGAGCATGTCACTGCACTCCAGCCTGGGTGACAGAGTGAGACTCCAACTCAAAAAAAAAAAAAAAAAAAAAAAAGCGGGGCCTGGTGGTGCATGCCTGTGATGGTTCCAGCTACTTGGAAGGCTGAGGCAGAAAGATCACCTAAGCCCGGCAGGCCGAGACTACTACTCCAGAGGGCGACAGAGTGAGACTCTGACTCAAAAAAAGAAAAGAAAAGAAAAAGATATTTTACAGTAACTATAGAAATATTTGTGTGCAATTTTACTTTAGCATAAAACTATAAACTTGTGGGCTCGTTTATCAGATTATAAAGCCAAAAACTGGGTAAAGATGATTAAGGCTATTTGGTGTGGACAGAATGCACACATAAAAAGGTATCTCAATTTCAATCTTGTATTTCTATTTCTTAGCCCAGTTTAAGGCAAGAAAGACATGACACACATTATCAATCAGTGAAGACCCAAAGAACAAAAAAAGTTTTAAAAACTTGCATAAGTTTTACTGAATGAGATAAAATAAATAGTCTTCCAGAAAGACCCAGGCGAATGTTGGCATAATTTCAGAATGGAAGTAATGACCTGACAGTGATGGTGAAGGAATATGCTTTTTAAACCTGCTGGCTAAGCCTGCAATAGCGAAATCCCTTTGTTCAAATGCCAAGCCATTAGGACGGAGGGTTGGGATGGAAAGGGAAGAGGAGACTGTTTTAAAGTGACAAAGTAATTTGTCGCTGTCCCCCTTATATCTCAGGGGGACAATATCCCGAATTTAAAGTATTTCACTGGTATCATGCAACACTTCGATCTCTTAAGATTATCCCCAGCTAACCAACATGGGGCTAACAGCACCTGCAGCAACCTCCCCTCGGGAAACCTACATCCCCAGAGCTCCGCCACGCCAGCCCCCAGTGGGAGGAAGGAGGTGAGGCAGGTTTAAGGAGGCAAAACGGCTGCCCAGAGGCTCCAGGCACCAAACGGCAGAGCCACAACTCAATTCAGAGTCCAGATTTCCCATTCATCCTTTGCAAACTCACACTCTTCCCATAATAGGGATCGGTTCCCGCCCCCTAAAACCAACGCTTCTAGAACGCTCCCGGCAGCTGGCGGGCAAAGCCTCGCACCCTCCCCCTTGCAGGGCACCCGCCTATGAATGCACGCTGGAGGCGGGATTAAACTGCGGCCGGCAAACCAGAAAGCGACTAGGCAGGTCTTGGGGCGAGCCTTTTTATGACGTCATTTCCGTCGTGAACGGCGGCGCGGCAGCCACCTCCACAGCCCCCACCCCCCATTCCCGGAAGCCCTTGTTGCCAGTCGAGGGCGGCAAGGCACGCGCCCCTTTAACGCCCAAAGGATATCAAAGTGCGGGCCCGCGCAAGCCGCAGCACCAAGCGACTTACCGAGCTGAGGTGATGATAGGGAACGGGAGAGCTCGCACAGAAAGCCTTTCAGGAGTGGTGTCGATACCGCCCACGAATCCTTCTTCAGAAACTTCAACTCCCAGAGGCAAGGCGGTAGTTGCACCGTGGAAGCTACGAAGCATGCGTCTTACGTCATCGAATCGCGCCGACTTCAGACCCGCAGTGGAAGAAAGAGGCGGGGCCTATAAGGGGCGGGGTGTGGAATTGGTGTTTTGGAGGTGGGAGGTCGTTACGATGATGTCTGTTTTTTCCCTTCAAGAAGTAAATGTGTATCTGCAGGCATATATTCATTCATACATTCTTGTGAGGGTGGGAGGGGGGAATTAAGATAGTCCCACTCTTAAAAAAATTCGAAATGAAGGACAATAAAAGGCTCTTCGTCTTCCTATGTAAAAAATGAGAGGAAAGCATCTCTTGCCTAAATTATTTCTAATTTATACCGAAAATTACCATATCATATGATGTTTACATAAGTCAAGTGGGAAATTAAATTTTAAAAGGGAGTCAGATTCGCAGTAAAATGCATTTAAATTTAGAATGTCCAGCCCCTTTTTACGGCTTAAATAGAACAGCCATCGCTTTACTCTCCATTTATTCCTTGAGCTATTTTTCCTATGCTATTTTGCAAGACGTCAGATGACATTTTATTGTCTATAATACTTGTCTTTATATAATCTTTTTGCTATATACAGACCAAGTCAACAGAGGAAGAAATGAAATACATCCCCATAGATTGTTGTTTTCTATTTAGTTTTTTACATTTTTTTTGGGGGGGGGGACTTCCAATAGGTAATTATTGCAGGATTTGAAAATAAGTTTGAAGTTTAAATTTTGAATAGAAGACTGCCTTTTTTAGTACAGGAAAGAATTCTGAGGTAATTATTCATGATGCTTGAAGATATATTTGAACATATTTAAAAGCTCCAGTGAATAGAAAATTAAATTCCGAATTTGAGAGTTTCTCAGAATTTAGTCACAAAACTGAAATCACTCTTGCTTTAAATCGTCAAATTTTACTTGAAAAACTATGTTAGCTGTAATGCTGTTGTGGGTCCCTCTGTTTCTTCTTCATCCCAAATCTAAAAGATCTTTAAGTGAGCATTGGCAAAAAAAGTCTAGATCCATTTCTGATCTGTTTGTAGGGCATCGTTTTTCAGTTGCCTCCATTTCAGGGAAAAGAGTAGCTGAGGGAGGATTAGTAATTGGATATGTAGCCCTTCACATGTAGGTCATTAAATTCAGGCTGGCATAGTGATGTGCCAGATCTTTCATCAGCTGTTCAGTTGCCCCTATGGGATCTGTTTTATAAATAATTATACATTTTTTTCAGAGTTAATACCTAGCATCTTTTCAAACAAAGTTTTTAAGTTACTAAAAAAAAAAAACCCTCACATTTTAATAATAAAATCAACAAATTTTCTTTTCACATAGACATTTAACTTTGTAGTCGTTTAGTGCAAAATTTTAAATAATTTTAGTATCAATCCAAAGTAAGCACCAAAAAAGTACCAGCAAAAAAGTCAATTTAACCAAAGATTGAAACATAGAAAATTTAAGAAAGTGAAATCATATGATAGGAAACAATTTTTTGATTGGTTTGTAAAATTCATATGTTTGTTTATTTGACAGATATAATGAGTTCCATGTTTTTTGTCTTAGGATTAGTGATACAAAGATGACTAAATCATGATCTCTGTACTTAAGAAATCCCTTGTTGAATAAGAGAGCCAGCAGTAAATGAATATGTAATGTACTTGAGATCCCTGTACATTGAAAGAAGCAGCTAAGTACTCCTTGAGACAGAGGACATGATTTCACAATTGAATAATTTTGTTCCACCTTGAAAAGCAAGTAAGAGTTTTCTAGGTGTCAGGAAGGGAAAGAAGTTTAAAATATTGGGAATAGTGAAAGCAAAGACCTAAGCATGTTATAGTTTTGTATGTGACTGAAAAGCTGTGGGCAGGATGAGGAAGAGGAGGAAAGAATAAACCTGAGGGTTTTTCTAATTTGGACAACTGCAGGAATATGATAACATTAACTGGGCCATTTAGGGAATACTGGAAGAAAATTAGGTTTTGAGAAAAATGTAAGTTTGGTTTTGCATATGTGGATGCTAAGTAGTCTGCAGGTATAAACAGATTAAAAATCATCACTCCTGGGCTCAGTGGCTCAGCCTGTAATTCCAGCACTTTGGGAGGCCGAGGCTAGTGGATTGACTGAGCCCCCCGGTTTGAAACTAGTCTGGGCAACTTTAAAACCAATACTGTAGAGAGACCTCATCTCTACAGTAAATCAAAAATTAGCTGGGTGTGGTAGCACACGCCTGTAGTTTCAGCTACTTGGAAGGCTGAGTCCAGCAGGTCAGTACTGGGGTGGCTATGAGCGTGCCACTGCACTCCAGCCTGAGCAACAGTGAGACTCCAATTAAAAAAATCATCAGTACATATTTATAGTTTAAACCAATATAAGAGGTTGACCTCAAAGAGACGCTAGTTTAGGGTTTAAATCTGTAATGTCAATGAGGTCTGGAAAGCAACACATGAGAAGATATTGGAAGGAAAGTGTCAAACCTGAGAATGCACCCCCTCATTCCCTTTAATAAGGGTACAAGTTCCAAGTGAGAATATGGGGCAAGTGACATCAGATCTAAATTTTTAGAGAACAGCAAAAATTCTGAATTTATTTGTGAAATCTGGTTTTAAAGTGTTGGCAACTATTTTCTTTGTTTGTTAAATACTGAGCAGGCTAAACAAAATATGTCTGTGGACCACATTCAGATAATTGGCAACTGGTTTCTTAAATTGGACTGTAGATTGTAGAGTAAAGAGAGGACTACAGATAGAATTTTAGGATACAGAAACATAGTAATGGATATGATTTTGAACTTCTCCATATGTTTGATTTAAAAATAGTGGTCAGTCATCACAAATTCCATTATTTTAAGCCTAAGTCTGTGGATACTCATCAGTGAGTTGGGAGTGGGGAGGTATGGAATTAGAGTAGCACTTGTGAATACTTTAATTTCAGGCAAAGAAAGCCAAAAATAAACCAGTTTTTAAACATGAATGGAAAAGTATCTAAAAGGAAAAATCAACCTCTCATATAGTAATTTCAACCTGCATATTAATTGACTTCCAAAATACAGAAAAAGTTTTAAATATTTTAAAATACCGTATCCCTTCAAGTACTACATTAATACTGAAGACTAGGAAGATGACTAGAGAGACAGTGGAGTCTGAACCTCCGGAATCTCCTCATAAAAACATTAAAGCATCTAGGATGCCCAAACAACAACAACAACAATTCTAGATCATAGTTGTAACATAATACAACTATGATCAGTGAGAAAGAATCCTTGAAAATCTCAAAATATGAACAGGAAGGAACAGTATCAACATTAGCATCTGTGTGTGAGGAAAAGGTGGAATGACAACAGAGCATCTGAAGGCCCTGAGAATGGGAAGGCACCAAAACTGTCAAGTGATGACTACAAAGAATGGAGGCCAATAAGAGGTCAGCAGCAAAACTGGCGGGGGTTTCAGCAGACTATAAGCACAGGGGAGTATAAAGAAATGAGCAGGAAGGTCTGAGTTGCTAGAGGGATGTAAGACCTATGAACTCTCAAAACCAACAAACAGGCAACATTCTTGAACATAGCTCAGCACTAAGGAGAAACTGCTGGAAATAGAATTCAGATTTGAACAGGACAGGGACAACAAAACAAAACAAAACAGGTCCAGATAAAAGTGGGGGAGAAGAGAGAGGACAGATGTAGAAAATACATACATATATATATATGTCATTTTATGACAATATTAGAAAAGGAAACTCTAGAACCACAAGGCTAGAAAAGCTATTTTATCCATTCCTCCAATAAGTCCAGAATAACGTATTTAGCCTAAAAGTATGTCACAGAAAAGGGTCATGTTGCTATAATAGAAAAGAGAAAATGAAAGCAGAGAAAAGCAGATGAAAACTATAACCCAATATTTCAAAACAAATTAAAAGCAACTTTAAAACGATAGAAAATGAAAAAAAAAAAAACCCACCAAAATAATATGACTCAAGAAATGAAGATTTGAAGAGGAGTAACAGAACTCAGAATAAGAAGTATAAACAGTACACATAAATATTCAACACTATAATGGTTGTTCAAACCTGTGCAATAAGATTTTTTGAGGGAAATAAAGAAATAGGACTTTTCTCAGATGACATGATTTTCTATCTAGAAAAAAAAAAAGCCACACACACACACACACACACACACACAAAACTTACACTAAACTAGCAAATAATTATAGCAAGGTCACAGGATATGAGGTTAACACAAAAAAGTTCATTGCTTTCCTATATATCAACAATGCAAATTTGGGACTTGAAATTTAAAATAACAAAAAATCAGATAGGTGTAGATTCAACAAAATGTGTGCATAATCTATATGAGAAAGCTGCAAAACTGAACAAAAAGATCAAAGAAGGTCTAAATTGAGAGAGTATGTATTCATGAATTGGAAGACCCAACGCTGTAGAAATGGGTACACATAGTTCCCAGATCTTGGTTTGCTTGCTTGTTTGTTTATGTTTTTTGAAGAAGAATTTTTATTATTTTTATGCACAGAAAACTCAGTGGTGGACATTTAGCCCAACTTAGTGGCAAGTTCTTTAGCCTTTGCCTTCTCCAGCTTCGTGAGGTGAGCCACACATATTGGACCCAGGCCGTTTCCTTCCCAGTGACGGTGGATCTCATAATATGTGTCGCTGTAATTGGTTCTGATAGCTTCCAACAGCTTAGCCAAAGCTCCTTTGTCTTCTGAGTTAACCTGTGTGAAGGCGACGGTGGTGCAAGTCTTCCTGTGGACTAGATGTCCCAGTCTTGCCTTCCCCTTGATAATGAAGTAGGGCACCTCCATTTTACAAAACAGGGCAGGCAGGAAGACCACCAGCTAAATGGGATCCACGTTATGCCCGATCACCACCAGCTGAGCCTTCTTATTCTCCACCAAGGTGGTGACAGTGTTGACCCCTGCCCAAAGGACAGGTGATCTCTTTCTGGGGATGTCCCCTTTGCCAGTAGCTTTCTTGTTAGTCCGGGCCAGCTGTCTCTGCTGTTTCTCTTGCTTTGTCTCTGGTCTGTACTTGTGGGCCAGCTTAAGCAGCTGGGTATCAGTCTGGAGTCAAGACCTGGGTGAACTGGTTAATGGCAGGAGGCGCTTTCAGCTGTCTTTAGAGGATAGCTCTTTGCCCCTGCAACCCATGTAGCGAGGCCATTTGAAACAGCCAGTGAGGTCCTTTTTGGCCTGAAT